GGCTACGTACAAACAGACAGACCGATAGTAACGTATTTTCGAGATGACAAAATGCCCTATTATCTCCAATTTGACAATATTTGCGATTATAAACTTCCCATACTATAAGACCCATCAAGTCATGGTTGATATAAAATTATATCTTGTCCTAATCTCAAATGTGCATATCTCCATAGCTTACGTACAGAAATTCATATGTGTAGTTCTTACGAACTTCGATGACAAGGCTCTGAATTGTTCAACACACATCTAATTGAATTTGAAAACCCTAAAAATATATCTTGTTGAAACTGTGTAATCGGCAACTCGTCGTTATAAAACCGATAGGCTACATTAAGATCATTGAATTCTTGGCAGAAACTCCTGTTTACCACACGAAACATCCAAGATTTCTGTTTCAATAATATATGTAAGTTCGTTTCCAACTGCTAAAACGCAATATTGTGTTTAAAGTGCTTTTTTACAAAATATTTAACACTGACTTTCTTGATAGTTTGCGCTTGACATGACATTTTTTTAAGAATATCTCTTGAAATTACAATGCTTCATGTATTGGTCTCCCGTAATAAGTATAACACACTTCAGTGATGTTATACATATATAGTGAGATTCGAATTTGACTGATGGTTTGAGTTCAATGTGTGCGAGAAAGAGAGAAAAGTGTGTACACACAAACACGTTAGAAGGAGATGGAAACCGGCTGGCCAGGGAAGCTTATCACCACGTTGCCTAGCATAAGCTTATCACCACGTTGCCTAGCATAGCGAACGCTGAAGATCGCGGCAATGTGCCGTGCTGTCAACATGTTGCACCAGTACCTTGAATTATGAGGAATGTTGAAATTTTTTTGGGAATATGTGGATAGTCGCATTTACGGTTGCCCCCATGCAAGGGCTACAACTTTGGAGGAGTTGCGGCTGAAAATAATAGAAGCATTCCATTCGGTGACTCCTACCATGCTAGAAAATGTTTGCAAAGGCTCCTACGATAGTTTAGGTTACATTTTCTGGCAGAGAGCTGTCGGAAAATGTAACAAATTATCACCGCCTGTAAGTACGCAGGTGCAAACCATTTCGAAACAGGATATTCGTCTATGAGAGCTAGATGGGTACTGACCAAAATCACTCATGATCATGAGCATAGTTTCGTGATTCACAGAGGCAGCACGTGAGCCTTGGAATGTACAAGAGGCTGTGTTGAAAAAACCAACGCATATTTTCAGTATGCATCATAATTCGAGGACCTGGTGTAACATATTGACAACGCAACACATTGCCGCGTCCTGCCCCGCCCGCGGCAGCGTTGCCTTCCACGGCAACGTGGTGTTAAACTTCGCTGGCCAGCCGGCTTCTCTTTCTAACATATGAGTTTTAACACTCTTCTCGCACGCACTGAAGGTATTGCCTGAACATGGGACAAACATTGTTTGGACTATTCTAGATGATTTTTGAAAAACCCTTTCGGTTCGGGTATACGTATTTCGCTTTTTGTCAAATATTAAATCGCTTATATCTCGAAAACTATCAAGCTCATAAAAACATTTTTTGTTGAGAATTACCCAAAAAACCTAAAAAAAAACTTTAGAACGAAAACAACAATATTTGAATTTGTTTAAAACCATTCTTGACGAAATTTTGTGCCTGGCAACATGTTTTGAATAAAACTGAGAAAAAACCGAATCAGAATAACTTTCCGAGCAGATGCTTAATCAATAAAAGGGGGAACTTTCCAAATGCAATGCTATGATGCCAATATTCGTCTATCATGATTAATTGGAATATTATTTTGTTCCAGAGAGGACCTGAGATCAACATCGATGTCGGCGAAGGAAATGTCCTCTACATACCAGTTGAAGGTGAGTCAAAGAGTCAAGTTTTGGGGGTGACCAATAATAGTGATGATATCTTAGCTTTACTTGAATGGTCAGAGAATTTGAAAATTAGTAAACATGGTTTCTCAATTCTCAAGTTTTACATCGTTTGTTAGTTAAATGCTACAGAATTTTTATATCCTTATACAGTATTTAAAACAATCCATTCTTCATTTTCTGAAACCACCACATTAAAAGATGAGTATGAAAATTTATGATTTTGTCTAGTAAGTAAAAATGAAAATATATAACATTCCTTTTGTTTTTTCTTTCATGTAATTTTCTTCTCCAACAAACATGAATATCATGACTATTCGTGCCAAGCATTTAATCAGCAATTCAGAAAGAAGCCATCTTAAATTTAAGTGATTCGATGTAAATCAACCTTGCCACTGTAAGCTTGAGATGTTTTCAAAGGGGAAGTTTTGAGCTGAAGACTTTAGCGAGATCAAAGGAACGGAATGGAATTTAACGGAACGGTGCCGGTGCTGCCGTTTGAAATTGAATACCTTGAAGAAGACTCAACGGACGCTTCGGCAATGTTCACTTTGGAATTATATACGCTTACACTGTTTATACATCTACCTATACATGTTAGTTAATCCTATCTATAAACGTAATTAGGTATCTATGCTTAAACTCCCAACATGTTTTCTGATAAATAAATGTTTATCTGTTGTGGGATACGCATGAAAGGCTGCCAAAATATGACATTTCAAGTGAGCGTTTGAGCATGCCTACCTATACAAGTAACTCTATTTCTATCTATCTTTCCATTTCTCTATCAATCTTATCTGAAAAATTGTCCAATCTTCGCTGTCTGGTTTGTAAAAAATGTAGCCTCTGTGTTTGGTAAAGAATGTGGCGTAACATGACAAGGGGCATGAACCGCTTGTAAGGATTGATATACAGTATGATGGGAAAATAGATGCGGAGCCGGTGGGAGGATATAGTACAAGCCAATCTGAGTCGATTTTACTATAGGAACAACTGTCCGAAAATTAAGATTTTATAAAATTTTATAAAATTAACGTCCTTTATACGTTCACCAAGTCATAAATCTTGAAAATTGGGTGTTTCATTTGATTTCCTTCTGTTTTACAATAAAAATATTCTAAAATACGAAAATGATACTCAAATGCACATTATTGGCGTTATCTCATGCAGTAAGTTTCAAGACAGTTCAATTTTTGTTAAAAAAATCTTCGTTCATCTCAAAAACTCAATTTACTAGAAACAATCACCTACAAATGTTTCGTGCAAAACAATTTTAAAATATCTACGTTTCATTACCTGTCAAATGAGGTATCAGTTATAAACCGGTTTAGAAATGACAATATGAGTGAAAGAAACAGGTAGAGCCGTCAACATCGGACCTTGCCACCGGAATAATGTGATAAGTAGTAAGACTAGTCACCCCCCTCCCTCCCCCGCTTCAATCTACTCTTGCGATTTGTTGCGTTCGGATGTGTTTGTTTGCTCGCTGTTTTGATATTTCGAACGACTTGGCTCCTGTTGGACTTCCGTGTGTGATTCTTTTCCGGACCCTGTTTTCTGTGATTCCTTACGACTTGGCTGCTGTGTGACTTGATTGTTCGTTGATCCCCCTTGAATACGCCCCTATGCTACCCAAAACTAATTGTAAGTCCTTGAACACAATGCCCCATTTACCACCATATCTAGCTATTTCAGTTCACTCGTATTTTTCTTTCTTTTTTTCTTTCTGTTTTCTTCATTCTCTTTTCTCTTTATTAGGGGAATACGGTATTTTTTGTGACCAGTTCAATCTTCATCGATGGATCACTATAAAATTAATTTTGCATTTATATAAAGTGTCAGGTCGCGTGCATAAATGGTCCATAAGCTTTATAAAATGTCACATTTGACAAATTTCTACAATAAAAATCTTGACATGACACCGTCATCAAAGACGTTGTAATACCACCTACAGATGGTATATGAATAGGATCAGTGGACGCATATGTGTACAATAATACTCAAAAGATCAAAAGGGTCCTGAAATCCATGTGTTGCGAACGCTCCAGAGCTGACACGAATACCTGTACCCTTAAGCAACATTGTCGTTTTGCCTAAATATAGCAGATATCAAAGCTGGTTTGTTTTTATATTTCTTTATCGACAACGATCACCTGCAAAAACTAAACAGCTTAACTGCGATTGATAATTGAGGCTTTATCGCGGTAATAGGGATTATTATTAATCAAACAAACAAATGATGAGATACCCTCAATATGTTGATAACACCAGAACGCTTTTCTGGTTTGTGTTCCAAGAACATAGCACTTCAGTGTGAATATGAATAATCTGTTGTTATTGTATCGAGAAATAGCGTAAGTGTGGTAAATGTGCGTCGATTATCGATTGTCACGATTTGGTTGTAGTTGTTCATTTGCACGCACGAGGTATTTAGGAGCTTTTTGAACAGAAAATCGAGCTGAAATATGAAATGTGACAGGTATAGTTATAGCCTAAGTACATTGAATTATGTTGTACCATCTTCAACATTTAGTCTATAGGTTTTCCTCTGTATACTTGAACCGCCACGAAGTCCTAGGACCCAAGTACCGATGTACCTTGAGGGTATAGATAATAAATAATAAGACCTACCCAAATAAAGTCCATCATCAGAAGCTTATTAAGTTTCTTAATCTTTTTGCCGTATGCCCCTTAATCCTTGGCGCGTCAATAACTAAGAAAGTATCTATTCCTATTTGATAAAATTCTACTATGTCAAGAATGATCAGGCTTTGTGGGTATTTCGATCATATATGTGGCCACTTTAGAGCGTAGTCTTGATTTTTTTATACTTGAGCCACCACGCTGGCCTAAGGTCTAAATACCAGTGGGTACAGTGGGGGTTAGAAGGGAATAGACGGTTGACGGGAGGGGGGAGCCACTCCGCATTTTGCGAGGAAACACGTATGTATGTGACATGCACAAATTTTGGTCTCACCTGACAGATCCTCCAAATTTTACCTCAACGCTCTATCACCTGATAGACGGTCTCAGACGGGCAATAACAACATCCATAATTCAAGGGAAAAGTTCTCTTGGAACGCGTTATAAATGGCACTTTTTTGCACGTCATTGTATTCATCTTAAGAATCGAAATCGATCAATAAAATAATAATATGTTCATGCGTCGAAAGTAGTGAGCCAATCTAAATGACTTCAATCTATCAACTTACTACACCATTCTAGCCATATACACGTTCAGCTTTTTGGTGTGACAATGGATGTCATTGTATGACACTTTGCATAATTTGTGACATTTTATACGTGAAAGTCAAACCCAACACTGAAAACACATTATTACAGCAGCAATGAGAAGATAAAAAGTCGTTGAGAAAAACTGAGGGTCAAGCACGAAGTTGGAGGTAAACATTGTACTTCTTTTATTGACGTGCATAGATAGAAAGTAACTTTCTTTGCCGATTTTGTCATTTTTTGGAATCAACTCGCTTACTTAAATGAATTACCAATTTATATCCTCACTAGATATTTCGTGGTAGCCGCTGCTTTGCGGCATTGATAATCAATTCGCACTATGGACCAGAGATTATGGGAGGTTACCTACCTCTGTTGTGTAAGACCATTTGTCTCGCCCCACCATTACACAATGTACAAATATTATCATTATCATTTTATTTAAACTATTTTCACATTAAGGTAAACATTCCTGGACTGAGCGTCTGGGGCACTTGATATACCTAATCGTCTTATGCTATGACTAATCCAAGCCGTCCGAAAAAAACAGTCGACGTTTCTAGATGTTCAGAAAATGTTTGATCTTTTTTGGCAATGAATGTTAACAATTCCCTGTAATTTCCTCTGTTGTCAAAGTCATCTCCTTCAAAATGAACGGTAATTCCTGTTTTGCCAAAAAACATACGGTATCTAGACGTGTGCTGCCTAAAAGCTTGTTTAAGACAACTTTCGATTCTTGTTTTGCCAAACTGAATTAAATTGGCTACACATCTCACATGTAACGGAGAAATTTCATGTATCCTCTTTAGAGCCCTAAAACTATTTCAATCGTTGACTCCGCTGCTGGTCCACCCATTTTTTTCTATATAAAGCAGAAGACATCGCCAACAATACAATCTGTTTTTTTGCAACCACATAACCAAGAGTTTCCATATACCAACTTAATTTAAAATATCAAACTACGTTTTTTATTTCTTTTTAAAATTATCTAAAGTAGGTGTTGGTCTTCCATTTTCAATGATATCCTTTTTTTTTCTTAAAAATTATAATGGGTGATTTTTTTGCTAGTATCTTTTTGGCAACACTGTTTTTGACAGATGACACGTGAATCGTGTCTTCTGTCATTGTCAAACTTGTTCAGTTTGGTCTATAATTTAACCATGAATCGACTTACGAACGAACAACGCTTGCAAATTATTGAATTTTACTATCAAAATTCATGCTCGGTTAAGAGAGTGCATCGAGCACTGCTTCCAATTGATGGGCAATTTGGTCGGCCTACTGAGGGAGCTATTCGGAAGCTTGTGACTAAATTTCGAACCCAGTTTACATTATTGGACATTAAACCACCAACACGCAGACGTAGAGTGAGGACTGAAGAAAATATTGCGGCTGTATCCGCCAGTGTTAGTGATGACCGTGAAATGTCGATTCGCCGCCGTTCGCAGCAATTGGGCCTCTGTTACTCCACTACGTGGAAAATTTTGCGACAGGATTTGGGTGTAAAACCTTATAAGATACAGCTGGTGCAAGAATTGAAGCCACACGACCTCACCCTACGTTTCCAATTTGGTAAATGGGCGCTGGCAAAGTTGGAGGAAGATCCACATTTTTATCGAAAAATTGTGTTCAGCGACGAAGCTCATTTCTGGTTGAATGGGTACGCTAACAAGCAAAATTGGGCCGGTGGCATCATCGGGCCGTACTTCTTCAAAGACGACAATGGCCGGAACGTAACTGTGAATAGACGGTGCCACATGCCACAGCGCACACGAAACAATGGCTCCATTGAGAGGCGAGTTCGGTGAACAGTTTATCTCACGTTTGGGGCCCGTCAATTGGCCGCCTAGATCGTGTGATTTAACGCCGTTGGACTATTTCTTGTGGGGTCATGTTAAGGCTAATGTCTACAGGGATAAACCAGCAACGATTGACGCACTGGAAGCCAATATTGAAGCATTTATTCGTGAGATACCGGCCAATATGTTGGAGAGAGTGTGCCAAAATTGGACCTTGCGCATCACCAAGATCCATTTCTATTAAAATTCTTGACACACCAAAACCACCAAAAAGCACATTACCTCAAAACAGTTTCACATATAAACTTAATATTCTGTTAATCTAGCTTACTAAGATTACTTGCTTTACTGTCAACAGCATTAATCAAATAAGCATCTGCAAATGATTTACAGGCAGAGCATAGAGATCAACCACGAACTTTTCCTTAGAATAGTTATTTGTGTGCAAAGTGCTATCAAGCCGCTGAAGAACTTTACTAAGTGATAAAGAAAATAGAACATCCAGTAAACATGAGTTTATTTGAATTTAATTTTGCATGCAGTTTAACATAAGCTAGAGGAAGTAGTGATTATATTTTGAAGTAATAACATTTACTGTATCGCTAGATTCCTCTTACAATGTGTTGGGCCACCTTGATGTCGTCAGGGCATGCTTCCGATTAGAGGACATATATTCTTCAGAAATCTCTTCCCAAGCCAGCTGTATTTGATTCCTAAGAACTGCTAACGTTGGTGGAGGATGAAGTAAAGAGGTCGCTCTTTGGTGGAAGTTGATTGATCATTATTGAGGTAGTCACTAGCTTTAGCAATACGGGAACGTCCACTATTTGTTAGACAATAGGATTCTCATACTTTTGGAGAAATGCTTCTAATATTGTTTGGATATACCGTTGTGCGGTCATACCTCCTCTAATGCAAACTGACTTGCTCAAACCATGACTCCCACTGTAGACTGTGTACAGTTGAAACAATTTCACTTAAATTGTCCATAGTTTTTCTTTTTATATTCAGAGCTATGAAGAAGATTTTTAAATAAAAGAGCATGCTTCTCTCTACTAATGGGTAATGTGATTTTAGGTCCAAGTGTGTTATTTAAAAATTTAAAAGAAAAAACAATTTGTTTCAACCGTCCCCATACCAGGGGCGGTTGACACAGTGGTTGGGGTCAGTTGAAACACCTACAAATAACACTAAATATAACATTATAACACGTTTAATTAACCATTTGTTTAAATTCTAAGAACAATTAAGGATAATTAACTCTTTGACAACAAAAAATAAAACGAAAACCAACTATTTGCTTTTTAACTTAATAAACTAAACAAAAATAATTTGAAAATAAATGAAAAGAAAACTGTCTTTCTCCTTCATTATTAGTTAAATATAAATATTAATCTGAGTCGCAATTATGGAAAACGTAACTAAAACCACCTTCTGTGCATTTTTCGTGAGCCCACAAATTACAAATGGTGCATGGGATCAACTTTTCTCCAGATCTGCTCTCTGAATATGGTGACATACAAATAAGACAAAAGCACTCCTCTTCTTCTGATGATGATACTTACTCGTGTACATTTTTATTTTTTCCTTTTGTGGTGTTTCTTTACTTTTTCGTTTTCTTGTTCGTTTCAACCTTGCTTCGTGCTCCTTTCTTATCTCTTCCTTTTCTGGTGTATCAGTGTAAATTGTTGACTTCCTGATTTTTCGCCCTCTTATTATTATTTTTTCTCGGGGGAGCTTTTGGATATGGTCGTATTGTTTCCGGTGAAAATACAGTGGGGATACTAGAAGAAATTATTTGAGCACTTGAACTGGGTTTTGGAGAAGTTTCCTGAATACTTATGCTGCTGTGATATCTGGGTGGTGTAGGTACAGTTTCCGGAAGTTCAGTCACATTTTCCTGTGCAGTTCTTCGAACTGGTGAGCTACTGATAGCCTGTTGTTGGACGACAATTTCCACCGGTGGGTCATAACTTAAGATAGAAGGCGATATTGGCGGCGTTTCATCTTCAGATGGGTTCGTGTTTGGTACAGGAATAATTGCTGCCTCTGCTATATTTTCTAGATTTGACGTATCCATTACAAATACAGGTTCTTCAGGTGAGATAGTATTTAGTACAGGAACAGCAGATGATTCGGTAGAATTTTCAGGATTCTATCCGTAACAAACGCAGGAGCAAAATCGAGCTCAGTAAATAGATTCCTATTATATGGGTAAGTTCCTGTTTTGCGAAAGCCGGCTTGAATATTTGAAGGCGTCAGAGCAATTGGCATAGCAGATGCTACAATCCCTGAAATATCATAAATGGACATCGTCCTTCCTGGATGGTTTCGCATCCATGCATCGCAGGCTGAATTTACAGCTTTCTTCAAAGGGCCATATGCAGATCTATCAAGCGGCTGGAGTCGGTGAGAACAGTGGGGTGGGAACGATGGTAAAATAATGCCACTGTTTTTACATTAATATGGACGTGTGAAGAGTGATTATCGAGCAAAAGTAACACTTTATGTGATGGAGATGCATTTGTATGTTTTTTAAAGTGATCCAGGAAATACATAAAAGTTTCATCCTGCATCCAACCAGAAGGGTTTGCAGCTCCAGCAGAGCCTATGGGCCCATCCCTAATAAAATGGTCTTAGAAAGGAACTCGCGGGAACACGAAGAATGGCGGAATTATATTACTGATGGCATTCGCCGCAAAGGCAACTGTGACTAATGTACCTCTTTCCGCTGAAGTTACTGAACCAACTTGATGAGCGCCACGTCTAGCCACCACTCCATCGGGCTTTTGTACAGTGGTTAAGCCTGTTTCGTCACCGTTATAAATGTCTTGAGGCTCAAACTTATGACGGTCCATGACAATGGTCAAATTGTCATAGAAAGAATCGACAATGGTTTTATTAAAGCTAGTCGTCCTGGAGAGACTTGTAGCTTGCGCTGCACGTAGAGACAGTTCGGGGTTTCTTTTCATAAATATTCGAAACCATTCCTCACCTGCTAGCTCATTATCACCCCATATCTGAGGTCGTGATAAATTATATTTAACTGTAAGTTCATAGGCCAATTTTCTTACCTCCTTAGATAGGCCAAAATATATATCGGCACATCGAACCAAGTACTTTGAAAGCTCTCGCTCTTGCTCCTCATTAAAAACTGGGTTGTGTGCCTTATATCCCATGTCTTTATTTTCTTTCTCATCAGATGCATCTCGCTTTCGAATATATCGTAGTAGTCAGCTGGTTTACGCTGTGCTTTTCTGCCGCTTTTCGCAATGAAATTCCTGCTTTCACCTCCTCATAAGCGTCTTTGTACTTCGACAAGTCTACTTGTCCTCTCGATGTCTTTCTTACGCGTACTCTCGGCATCTAGA